CCCCCCACTTCTGACTAATAAATGACTAATAAATTTTTTAAGCGAAAAACAAACGATTTTTTTTTCCAGGGTAGTGTAGCCCCTTAATGACAAAAAAATATACCCATACATTTCAATAACACATCTACAGTCACATAATTGCTGTCGCCTGATTGTTTTATTTTTTCTATGATTAGTTATTTTTTTGTTCCAGCTGTTATGATTTTGTGATGGTTTAAATCAATTTCTCATCGAAACGGCTCCAGATATGGAAAAAAATCTCAAACAAAACATATTTCTTGAGCATAAATTTGGTACCCTATCTTTCTTGTTATTTCCATTATTTACGGAAATATTTTTCAAGGTCTATGCAGAATGAAATTGTGGAGATGATCATTTTGAAGTAATGGTGAAGGACTGTTGGCTACTTTGAGGTAGCTACTTATGTTTCACCTACATATATGTGAGCTAGCTAAAAAATTTCATTCCTTACACAATATTAGAGTTAGGACAGTAAATGGGCTTCCCATGAATGACTTCATATTGGCGTGAATTAAAAAACAAATTCCTATTTAATCGAAATTTTGGGAAATTTTTCAATTTTTACGGCATGGCGTTTTTTTTCTAGCTTTCAGTTTGAACAAAGAAATAATTAATGATGTGAAAAATGAAAAAAAAATGAGAGTTCTTCTTTCAGTTAGCTAGACCTCATAAAAAATCGCGATCAAAATCTGAGGGGTTGAGGTCATGTGCTGGTCGAGTTGGCATGGAATGTCTCGTATACATGTTTTGATTGTTTGAGATAGAGAGCATCAACAGAAGCTTTTTGGAAACAAACGAAACTTAAGGGGTTGAGTATTTGTAAAGATATTTCTGAAATAGTTATTTTCAGGCCTAGCCACGGAAAACAGGTCATCCCTCCCCACATGCAACATTGACATGGTGTGGTTTTAACAAAAAAATTTCAGAGCCTGGGAACCGCGATTTAAATGAAATAACGTTTCTCAGGCACCAGTTTGGAAAAACTATAAACAAACAAATGGAATATTTCAGGAATTCCTGGACTTAACTGCGAGATTGCATACATACGAGTGCACAATTGTGAATGAATTTTTGCTCAACGACTAGAGTTGAACTGCCGATGACCTTTCCCACCTCTAAATCCTCAACTACGATCACATAATGTCCACCGGCCGATTTCATGCTATGGAATCTATCTGAAAATTACTGAATAATTAATATTCATATCTAATGACTTTTCATAATTTAATAGGACGTTTACTTAAAAATTGATCTCTCCCGATGTGTCCCACATCAGTCAATTGACCCAGCAGTTGAATAAATCCTGGAAAATCAAAAGATTAAAATTATTTAAAGATTCAGTTATTTCATTACTCGCATACAGATGAATTGAGTAGCGATCAGTGTTTGGGAGAATCGGAGCAATTTTGTTCGCATATTTCGAAATATTTTCTGAGAAGTCGAAAGGTTTAAAATGACGACTGGCATTCAACTGATATAATTTTCACATTTTACCGCTACAATTACGAATGACTACATACCTTTATCATAGTCAGTGGTTCTGAGGGGTCTGACCAAGAGCCCATTTTCTTGCCGTTGATTAGGAAGACGGTCCAGCAAATTTGCAGGAAAAAGATCATGCTCGTCGTCGGACATGATCGCTGCATTTCTCTAATGTAATCAACACATTACTTAATTAGTTTTCTAGATAAAATATGTTACCGATGGACATATGTCGCCGATTTTCAACTCAATCACCCACTTCCATATTTGACACGCGGAATTTTGCACAGAATGTTGAACAATATAAGCACGAATAAATGAGATACACACGCAAAACACTAAGAGTACGTTAAGCAATCTTATGCAGATTCCATTCATCAAAATGCAAAGAAATAGCAATAGCAACTTTAGTAATAGACAAGAAAACTTGCGTTTATAACCGTTATGATTAATTAATGCAGGCATCATGCGTAGTAGTGCATACTTTTTTATTAATTGAGCATAAACATTGCGATTTTTTTACACACAATTGGCTTAGAAGTGTATCCTTTCAGCAAAGATCGGCTTAAAGAAATAAAATTACGGTGATACTGAACATTTTTTGAAGGATTCAATTCATTTTTAAAAAATTCATCCGTCAATATTTCATTCTGTATTAAATATGCCTAAGCAGTGCATATTATATGACTCACTTAGGAGTTAAATTTAAAAAGAGTCTTAAATACTATCTGTTGAGCTTCATTAAATTTTTCATTTTCATTGTTTGAAGCCCTAACAAATGGGATTCGATTCTAAACCATTTTTTAAATGCTGGAGACCCAGCAGAAGGCTCCAAAAGAAAATTGAACTAGTGCAATGTTTGTTAATGTTTAAAAAAAATCTGGAAGCAAACAAAGTGTTACGCACCACACACAGGAAAAAAAAGTAATTGGCGTGAATACCCTTTGTTTTTATTGCAAACGATGAAGGGATGAATTGAGTTGTTGTAATTATCCAGGAAGAGGGGCTGTTAATAATAATTACGAAGCTAATATGATTACCTAATTATTATCTCAAAAATGTGTCACACTTATTTACTATTAGTACCAAGTCACCTTGAGCGGCTAATTTGAGTTCAGAACTCATTGAATTTTTAGATTTTTAAACATGATTTTGCACAATTAAACATGCGTATTTAGTACATTACTCTCTTCTTCCGATCTTGACACCAATCTCTCACAAAAATCAGCGCCAATTACGAACGAAGCATTCACACAATATAAAATTATATATTTTTAACACATGCATTAATTCATGATTAATTGAATGGCAAATTATTTGTTAGTAATAAGAGACGTTAGCGGACCGAGTTAAGAGTTGAACTCTCAAATATTTCCAGCATTTCAGAGAAAGCTCTATGGCAATTACTACCCAGGTAGGAATTAACAATTGGCCCAACTTGGGTGATGGGCGGCCCAACCCCGGCTAGACAAGGCTCGAGCTTGGCATCCAAGGTTGGCCCAAGCCTGGTTGAGCCCTGGGATGATTACGTGCGGGCCTTCCTTGGCCACCAGACTTGAGCCGAGCTTGGTCGCCAGGCCTTAGCCATGACTCATATTTATTTATTTAAATTGATAAAAAAAAATAAAAAATGATGTTCATTGAAGCATTTCTGCAAATGATTACTGTCTAATTACTTACTCCTAACTTCTTTTCCAACGCGAATCGCTAATTTGTTAACCTAAAATATTACCCTAACCGGGGATCGAACCGACGACCCCAAAATCTCTAGTCCTGCGCCCTAATCGCTAGTCTAATGCGCTATTATTACTAACCAACCTAAATCATCGATATATAGACTCCAGAAAGTTTCAAAATATAATCCCTATTAAGTTCGATCTCACTAGCTACCGATTATCTCGGTATTTGATTAATTCAAATCCCCCCCCCCCCAAAAAAAACGTATCTGCAATGAACCAAAAATAACATTGATTGAAGCCTGGCTTAACCATTGGCTGCAATATGGCCCAAGCTTGGTTACCAAAGCCTAGGCAAGTCTAGATTGAGCCACGCTTGGACCGGTTGTTCGAGCTTGGCATTCCTGCCTGGGTAAACTCTAAACTTTCCGAAAGAGTTTAGAGTTAAGTTTTCAACACTCAATTTATTGGGCGGGGAGGCATAACCTCACCTCTCCCCGCCATAAAAAGTTTATAAACTTTATAAATTGGATGTAAAAAACTCAAGTCTAAACTCTTTCGGAAAGTTTAGTAATTGCCATAGAATCCAATATAGTCCCAACTCTGAACAATCTCTCAACTTTCTCTCAAATACTGGAAATTTTAAAGTCTTACCGAACTCTAAAGCAACTCTCAACTTGGTCCGTTAAGGGAGAGAGTGGAGCCAAATAGATCGGGACTAAAAAAGATACACTATTTTTTTCGTCTAATTCAAAATTTCAAAAAACTATTCCATTGTACAATATTTATATCAGAGTCTGTATAAAAATCAGCAACAAGCTTTGGAATGGATTGTCTGAGAATTGGAAAATAATAGGGGTAGTTCCATTATCTTTCGGCTTGAACAAGAATGCTTTGAGGAAGGAAAATGGTGTAGATATTTCATTGATATTATTTATAATATTTTCTGTTGATAACAAAGGAGACGAAAATTTAATTCTGATACAATCAAGAGCCCATTAATATCTATGTGTTTAGCTATCATTAGTTCCTCTCTGATAATAATTTTTGAAAAAGACGAATATTTCCGAATTTTTCTGCTGATTTCCATTCTAATTGGTGTCAATGGATGGAATGCATGGGAGTCCATGTTCACAAGGAAATATCGTATACCCCAAAATTTCGACATTAAGAACACATTTTCCCCTCTCAAAATTAGTCGCCAATAAATCCAACCCTCAATAAAATATCCCAATATCTAAAGCCCGAATAAACTTCCCTCATGAAAAATATTCTCCCTCTAAATAAGTCTCTGAAATCCGCCCTCGAGCACCGCCAATCGTCCTAATCCTTGATGCCTTGATGAGAGAGAGAGAGAGAGAGAGAGAGAGAGAGATGCCATGTGTCAAGACTCTCCCGCCTCACCATACTGGCCACCTCCGTTGTCGCTCCGCTTCCTTCAGATGATCCACTTGGGTTCGCCACGGCTTGTTCGGACGTTCGATAGAGAAACCGCCTCGCTTGCGCCAGGATCTCAATCGGGATTATCCCCGCGACGACTCTTATTGCATCGTCCGAGACTGTGCGGTAGGCACAGCCAACCATGAGCGCGCCCAGCCGGTGCGCTGCCATCTTACGCCGTGTCTCCTGCATTCTAAGGGTATCCTCCCAGATGGCGATGCCGTATGTTAATATCGACGTGCACACCAACGTCAGCAGCACCCTTCTCCTCTGTCCTGGTCCACCGACATTCGGCATGAGCCGGGACAGCGCCGCCCGGACACCGGAAGCCTTGGCAGTGGTATGCGCCACGTGCTGCTTAAAGTTGAGGCATTGATCGTCACCCCGAGGTATCGTATATGCGACCCTCAGGTGATAACGAAGTCACCGACTCGTAACTGGATGGTCTGCAGGGTCCTCCCGCCCGAGATCAAAACCGCCTCCGTCTTATGCTCGGCCAAACGAGGTCCAACCGTCTCCATCCATCGATGTCTCATACGCCCTCTCGAAGGGTAGGCAGATGTCCTCTATGTGCTCTCCAACGATAACCAGCGGCACGTCATCCGCGAACGCGATCAACCTGACCTCCTGGGGGAGGATGACCCTCATCAGTCCATTATACATGGTATTCCACAGGAGAGATTCCAATACAGAGCCCTGTGGAATCGGCTACTGACCCTGTGCTTCTTGGGACCCTCCTGTGTATCATACGCCAGCGCTCTATTGGAGAAATAATCCCCCACGATCCTATGAGGGTAGTTCCGAACCCCAAAAGCCTGGAGGGCAGTCATGATACTATACCATCTTGCGGAATCTCCTGCGGGCACGCTGCGCCAGCCTCCTGGCCACATTGCAACTTTTCCGTAGCGCCGCAACTTCCTCTGTCCACCAGTAACCCGGTGACCTTCGGCTATTGATGCGCTTTTTGGGCATGGCGGGGTCGCAGGCACACGCAACTCTGCTCATAATGTCGGCCGCCTTCTCTCACCTTCTCGAAGGTGAGGTCCACGATTGAACTGGCTCTCCCTCTGGTGAATGTAGATTCCTCTCCAGTGTTGAGCAGCACCAAATCCAGAAGCGCCATGGCTTCCAGTAGTGCATTAGTTTATTTTATAATTGATTAATAAATCTCTCTCTCTCTCTCTCTCTCTCTCTCTCTCTCTCTCTCTCTCTCTCTCTCTCTCTCTC